CTTCTCTTTCCTCCCGTGCTCTGCAGCAACGCTTCTTTTACCTATGCTAAAGATCCCTGTGACGCCCAAATTATTGTGGGGTCTGCTCATCAAGAGGCCAAAGATTGGGACGTGCTGAGTTTGAAACACATAAGGGGATCAGCTTGTACAGGCTGATTGACCCAGTTTGACTCAGACGTGCCCTTATGAACTGAATGCTGGCCCATGAGGGTGTCAGCTGGACACCCAGCCGGATTCAGAGGGATTCTGTTCACCTGTGTGCTTGTGTCTGACTGCATTTTATTGTTGCTCTTATGAACTGATTCTTGGCATATGAGGGTGTCAGCCTGTCCATGCTGATCAGCCCAGCCAGGTCAGGCGTGTCACGTTAATTTGTGTGTGTTTGTGTGTACGACTGATTTGGTGACTGGAGGAACCCAGTCCCATTGAGATTGAGTCCTGCAAGATAGCTCCACTGGGGGTGAGGGCTTGCAGAAGGGAGAGATACAGCTCCATATAGTAACACAAGCAGCACATTGACAGAATCACCAAGACCCTAGAAACTATCCCTAATAAATGAGCACACCCCAAAGTAATGGGCAAATTTGGTAACATTGATAAGCTTTAGTTAAAGCACACCTGCTGCCATTTTGAAGCACACATATGCTGATACACAAGGTGTTTCTGGGACTTTAATTAGAACATCTTTTAGAGACAATCTAATTAAAGCACAACCCCCCAGAGCATGTGTAAAATTGCCCAATTAGCCTTACCTGTAAAGTAGCATAAGGATGTCTACAGTAGCATAAGGATGTCAGGCAGTAGTTAAGTGACACCCCTCTTATTCTGGGGATCAAGAAATGGCTACAATTCAGCAAGATGGATGGTCACATCCAACTCCCAGGCCACTCTAAGAATGTGAAAAAAGCTAAATAATGTGTAACCTTATTCCCAACAATTTGCTTCTATGATCCACATTCTATTAACAGAAATCAATTGAGTGCAACCCTAGCTGACCATGGAAAGAATTAAAGTTTAACTTTAAAAAGGTTCAGATGACATTATGTGGTTAAGAATGCCCCACTTCTCCTAATGAGAAATGATGGTTATGAAGAAAAAAACAAACCAATTAAAGACCAATTAGACTCATGTGATTTTGGAGATCAACTCAGCCACGCACATATCTTAATCCATCCCTACATCCCTAAACTTTATTTTTAGCTTTAACAGAGAAATGTGTTCAACTGTAATCCTCAAATGATACCAAAAGAAGTTTCATATTTCTCATCTTTAATCTAAACCCTAACACTGATCTGATGTAATGCTATTTGAAGGATGTGGGGTTGATGTATAATAATCCACTCCTGTATGTACTGTAAATTACCAGATTATAATGCTTGTTATTGTAAACTAGATCTACAAATGGATTTAGGCATCTCCTTTCGGTATCTACATTCAAAATGTGCAGCCCTCAAAAGTCTGCTCAGCTCCTAACTCCAGAGTCAAACTCCACAAGCCACACAAATTATTGATACTGAAGCTTATCACATGCCTAAAGTTCTGTTTCTGAGAGTATGCAGGAGTACCTCAGTGCTGACAGCATCAAGTACAATTCAGCATCTCTCTTACACCTTGCACCTTTCAGGATGCAGACACTGGATGTTTCTTTCCTTTTCTCACTGGCTGAACTCAATCTGTTGAAAAGTCCTACTGCACACTTACAGGATGGCTCCCAGACATGAAACAACCTGAGAAGGCACACACCTCCATCTATTAGCTCACACAGATAGGTGTGGCATGGGTTTACTTCCTTCCTTGCCTGAAAGGATTTGTACCCATGTGAGAAGGGACAACAGTAATAAACACAAGACTCCCAGGAGGAGAAGAGTCCAAAAGGAATGAGAGCGAGGGAACAGGAGGAGAGTGGAGATTCTGGAGCAGCTGTTCCATGCAGCTCAGGTGAGCCACAGGAGAGAAGGGTGAGGCTGGAGAGAAACGGAGTGGTGAGAAGAGAGGTGGAGTCAGAGAGAGCGGGGGAAAGAAAAGCCCCAGTGAGCAGAGACTCGGCGAGAGTGAAAGATTAAAGGAGAGAGACGTTCCAATGAAGGGAGGTAATGAGGTAACCTTCAAGAAAAAAAAAACAAAAACAAAAGGGAAATTGCCTCCCCCTGGGAGAGAATGTCTGGACTGAGACTGTGATTGTTGTTTATGATGTGTCTCATGATTAGACAGATACATACCTAATGAAAAGGAAAACAAAAACAAAGGAGGCAATTGGGATGTAAAATACTGTAAATCCCGAGGAAGAGGAATCATGCCCAAGAGGGAATAAAGGAATAAAGAAAAATAGAACCCAGGGCAAAGAGGACAAGGCTGACATAAAAGTAATAGATAAGCCATAACCCAGTTGAGTTGAATTTATATCCGAGCGAGATCCTATTCAAGTTATGTTTATTTAATTGATGTAAAGAATTAATGATAGTCTTGCTAACAGCTGGAAGATAATAGATGTAAGCTTAAATATCGAGAAATAAAAGACCTCATAAAACTGGCTCAAATGACGTAGAGTTGTAAATGACCATTGATGGGTGACACGTTAGACACTTTCAAGAAGGAGAAGGGGGAAACAAAAGTGTATTCCTTAAAGGATCCTCTTCCTCACAAGAGATTGGCAGCTCTTAAGACAGTAGATAATAATTAACACCTCCTGACTCATAACATCGTATATTAATCAAGACGTGGCAGGAGAGAGTCAGTAAATACCATTATATTAGCATACGATGCAATCTAAAATAAGAAAGTGTGGGAGTGCGCCCCAAGTTCGACACAACCCCCCCACACTATGACTCATACAAACCCTGGAGTGTGCAACAACCACTATTCCAACTAGTTTCAATCCCTCTTGCAGAAGATATTCATCTTTGAATACAATAACTACATTCTACAAGAGTAAATATGACTATGGTCTTGGGGCTAGCTTATTCACTCTGAAAGGGGGCAATATGGAACTTACAACACAGAATATTTTATCTAAAATAAAATACTATTCTTTAAAAACAAACATTCAGGTGCCTGTCTTCAAAAGAGAATTCAGTACTGACAATCATATGTAGAGCAATGCACTTTATTCCAGTACAGGATAAGGAATGTAAGTGATAGGCAGGATGTAAAACATGCCTGCTCCCTCCTTCTTATTGGCTACCTTCTGTGGCTCCCTACTTAGCAAACCATCTTTTGTTGATATCATTCTTAAGTGGTAATTCTCTTCATAGATTGTATGAGGGCAATACTTGTATGCTGGGAATTGCACTAGGTGGCCAGACATCTAAGAGTTGGATGTGACAATGCTGAACACTGTCTTGTCTATAATGTGATCCTTTGTGAATCCAGCTCTAAATTAATGCACTGTTTATTGAGTAAACTGAAAATTTAGTTCCACAGCAAGGCTTTTGGGAAAATGACAGGAAAATAATATAATGATTTTGGATGAGTAACCTGACAATCCATTCATTAGAGGTCATTAGGCTACCATGCCTGAATGATCAGCTATGAAGATTCTTCTTTCAGGTCCCAATCAAATAACAAGATTTGCTTTACTAAATTAAGGTCAAAGTACCATAAACAGTTAATTCTCAGTGTAGAAGAGGGGGCATTGTCAGGAATGTGTTTGTAAGTAATAGGCTGGCAGACATGCACTAAAAGGTCTGAAAACATTGATCAGGTTTAAGAAGCTCTTTGTATTGCAAACCTTAGGAAAATAGGTATATATATATTCTTATTTCTCCTATGTTAAGATTCATCCTTGCTCTTAATCCTAAATAATATTTAGTTTTAGAAAAGCTATCATCTGTTTTAAGCACCAGGTCACAGGCTTCTGAAAAAAAGAACTACAGATGTTCAAACCCAGTCAGACCTGTTAACCAGGTGGGAAGGAACACAGGTGTAATCTGGCACCTGTTTTAAGTGAAGGGAAAGGTTAGCAGGTAACAGCAGAACACAGCAATTCCAGAGTGGAGTTCTCCTTCGAGTCAGACATACTTAGAGACAGAACATTAGCTGAATGTACAGAGCTAGGTTGCAGAGCTGTCAGCTATGCCAGCCCTGGCCACATAATAAGCCCCGCACTGTCCAGGAAGTATAGCACAGTCTAGGAAGTATAACAGTAAATAATCAAAGAAAACCACGAACATTTTTTTAAGGGAAACTGCTATTGAACTAGGTTGCTTGCAGGCCCCAGATACAAGTGAAAGTTCAAGCTTCACTAATGTTCAGTGGGCATTAATGTTCCTTTTCTAATGCACATGAAATTTAGTACCTCCAATGTGAGGTACTAAATTAATGCACATTAGGCTGTGCTAATGTGCAGTAGTGAGTTTGCAGGTTTTTTTTAGTGACGCTTAATGCACAGTAGACTATTTTACTGTGAATTACTATAATGTCATTTTTTTTATATGACACTTTAATGCACACTAAAATAGTCTACTGAACATTAAAGCACACATGTAGGCATGCCCAATGAGTAGGAAGTGCTTGAATTCTTCATTCCATTTCAGTTATTCAGAGTGAGACATCTAAATTCAAATCTCAGTTCCTCAGACTTGAAGACAGCATTGATAATACTTGGTCTCAATTATTAAAAATGCTAGTATTAAAGTTATTAGTGAGTACATCTACATGAGACACATTACTGCTCATTAGCATAGTTTACTGTGCAGTAAGTATGTGCATCCTACTTGTGAATGCATTTACTGCATGACAAAAACCCTTAATCCTGCTTAAATTTGCTACTTGCAACTGCAGTCAGCAAATTTAAGAGGGATTAGTTAATGTGCATGTAAAAGAGTAAACAGTGATGCGGCAAAAAGAGCCAGGGAACGCCGCTTCTGGAGCTATTACCATATAAGGATAGAAGCTCTGGGAAAAGAAAAGAAAGAGAAGACAGGAGTCTCAGAAGAAAATAAAGAGAGAGCATCTGACGGAGAAAGGGAGGGAAAAAGAAGATCCCCAGGAGATAAATTTACCTCAGGATTTCTCTAGGCGCCGGAGAAAGCGGAACTCAGAGAAAGAGGGGTGGATCCCCGAAGAGGCACACGAGATGAGTCGCACTGAAAAGTAAACAAAAAAAAAAGAGAAGAGTGAATTCACTCTCACAAGCTTAGAGAAGGCATCTGAGTGTTGACCACAAGAATTCAAGGCTTCAGGCACGTGCAAGATAAAAGGTACACACTTGTGATAACAGAAATAAAGAGAAAGAATACAATGGGGTTTGAAGAGAAAATTCTGTCCCAAGAAAAAAATAAACAGACGAACCAAAGTTAAAGACTTTGTTTCCTACTACCAAGTTCAGCCCGACTGAACTGATAATAGTTATGTAAGACCAGTATATAGATAGAATTACAAAACTGATATAACTGATAAAAAAAATGGATAAAAGGACCACTTCTGATTAAAGATAAAGAAAGTTTGTATAGTGTTATAAAGAATAAAAATAAAGACAAGTGTAAATCTGCACCCGATTATAAATATATATACATATCGGGGAGTGTATGTGAATAGTCAGAAGGCATGCGAAGTTTTCCTCTATAATACCGGGACTCCTAATAGAGACACCAAAAAAAAAAATTAAGTAAAATAAAATAAAATAAATATATATAGTAACCCTCCTGATGAGTGACATCATAAATTAGAACATATTATAATAATATCCAAGACGTGGCAGGGGGGAAAGTCGGGTGCCTTACAGTTCTTTGGGAGATTATAAGAGGATACAGAGAGGCATCGTAAGGTCCACCATCACAGTGCACATGTAGACACAACCCAGGAGCAAGCTACTCAGGGCCATTGTAAATACATGTGTACACATGTCCAGTGTGTGGTTAAACAAGTTCTTCACCTTGGCTTGCTACATTATTCTGAAGCTGAATGTCAACATAAGTAGGACCATGGGATGAAGCAAAATTTCCTCTACACACCTTCTTAATATATAATTAGGAGGCAAAGAAGTAAGATTATTGTACATTTGTGATTCATTCTTACTCTATAAAGAGTTGGAATGGGACATTCTGGAAGCTCCTTCACACTAGTGGTATGGTGGCAAATGAATCTATTCCAGAAGCCATCATTATTCTCTTCTATGTTGACATATATACAAGTTCCAGATGATGTTACATTGAGGAAGAAATGGAATTCCCTTTAATGGCCAGAAATGAATGTGTTATGTATATCATGCACCATGCAATGTCTCAGAAATCTTTAAGATTACCAGAGTGCAATAAAATGTAGGGCACCTATACACATGTCAGAACTCTGCTCCGACACATGCTAATTAGCATGCATCAGAGCAGACTCAATTAATCATGATTAAGAAGCATGCTAATTAGGATGATCTAGCAGCCTCTGCATCATGTGTACTCAGCATCCCCGCATTTCAAAAGGGTGGTGAAGGCATTATAACTAAAGCACCCTGCTGCTATTTTGAAGAGTGGGATGCTCAATTCACATGACCCTGTGGGTACTTTAATTAGAGCAGCTCTCAGACCCACTCTAAAGTGCCCACACCTCCACTGTGGAGCAGGTGTATAGACGCCAATATGGTCTGGAAAGTATATTTAAGAGAAAGTTAACTATGTGCATTACCACATCCTGAAATGAAATATTAGAGCTTCTCAAAACTAAGATTTATATTTTTAGGGAAATTCTGGTATTTCAACCTCTGTGCTATCCCAAAAACAAACAAAACTTTTCAGTTTTATAGAACCATAATTTGTACTTTAAAATATTCATATCTTTCATTTCACCTCAGTTGAACATGGACTATGTCCTGCTGACACAGCACCTCATGCCCTTTGCAGTTCAGTCCCAGCTCATTTGGACATTGGTCTTCTGTATGAGTTAGGTTCCTCAGCAAAAGGGTACCTATGTATTATGGTAGCCCAATCAGAAGGGAGATTGTGGTAAGTCATAAGAAACACAGCTGAGAAAAGGACATGACCTATAGTAAATTATAGGGATATAATATAGCCAAACAACAACTACAGCAACAGCCCATAAAGCTATTTTATTTTGGAAGAAACTCAAATATTTTGATCTGGTTAACAACAAAATTATAATTTTCTGTTGATAACATTGAAAATTTTAGCCATAACTAAGAATTTTCTCATGGAATGTGCAAGTTTTACATAAATTACTTTCCCCACTTAAATAAGATTTGTACAGGAACTTTCCAGCAGTGTTGTTTAAAAACAGTAACTTCAAAACAATTGTAATAAAAAAAATCTTACACTTATCAAATATGTGTTTCAAATGCAAATGTACTCAAAATATTACCTCTTACTATAAATAGTAAGTAACTTTATTTTAAAACTCACCATGACTTCTTATTTTAACAGCTTAGTGAAAGCAGTGGCCAGGTGGGGGAGTGCCTGTGGTGTGAGCAATGTCTCCTGGTGCTGTCTGTCAGGAAACAGGCAAGAGAGCTACAGAAAGAGGTGGTTAGGCTCTAAGGCATCCTTTGCCATGGGGAGTTCATCAATTCAGTGCTGAAGTTGACCTCTGGGACTGTGGAGAAAGACCTGCAAGAGGCAGTGCTAGAAAAGGGAGAGGACATGGACTCCCAGGAAGGTGGAAGCTGGAAGCTTGTGACCTTTGGCAGCAAGCAGAAATCCTCATCTTCAACTGCAGCAGTTTGTCTGGAAAACAGATATGGTGCCCTGCATGGAGTACTTTCCATTGGTGAAGGAGGACAGGCCAGGTAGGCCTCCCCAAGGTGGGAATGATTGAGACCACCACCACCAAGAACAAACACTGGGTGGTAGTGGCTGGAGATTCCCTTCTGTGGGGGATGGAAAGATACATTTGATGATCTGGCCTGTTGTCTCAGGAAGTCTGCTGCTTGCCCACAGCCCAGATCTAAGACGTCATGGAAGGATTACTGAGATTCATCCAGCCCTCTGACACTGCTCATCCACATGGACACCAATGGTACTGCCAGAAGAGACCCTGAGAAGTTCAAAAGTGACTACAGGCCTCTAGGTGTAAGAGTGAAGGGGATGGGGGCTCATGTGATGTTCTCTTTGATCCTTCTTGTCAAGGGGAAGGGCCTGGGTAGGAGTGGGTGCATCGTATAGATCAATATCTGGCTGCATAGGTGGTGTCACCAGCAGGGCTTTGGCTTCTTTGACCATGGGATGATGTTCCAAAAGATGGATTGCTAGAAAGAGATGGGATCCACCTGATGAAGAGAGGGAAAAGCATCTTGACAGACAGTCTCTCTAACCTAGTGAGGAGGACTTTACCCTAGGTTTGCCAGTACAGACCAAAGCCCAGGGGTAAGTGGGGAATTGGGTGACCTGGTAGAACAGCAAACACAGGGGTGGGGAGCAACATAAGAGGTTTCTCATTCTTCCGGACACATCAGGGCAATCAACTAGTTACCTCAAGTGCCCATACACAAATTCACACTGGGAAACAAGCAGGAACAATTGGAAGTCCTTGCGCAGTCATGAAACTATGAGTTGATTGGAATAACAGAGGCTTGGTGGGAAATCTCACATGACTGGAGCACTGTCATGGATGAGTACAAACTGTTCAGGAAGGACAGGTAGGGGAGAAGAACAGGAGGAGATGCAATTTAGGTAAAAACAGCCTGAGACCTCTGGTTGCTCCGATCTCTGGTATGAAACTGGATATAGGTATGTGGAAAGTTTCTTGGTTAGAGTCAGAAGAGAAAGCAAGGGTGATGTTATGGTGGGGCTCTACTATAGCTCACCAGACCAGGAGGAAGAGGTGGATGAGGCTTTCTTCAAACAGCTAGAGGAAGGTTCTCAGTCACAGGCCCTGGTTCACATGGGTGACTTAAATCACCTTGACATCTGCTGGAAGGGCAATACAGCAGTAAGCAAGCAATTCAGGAAGTTTTTGGAGAGTGTTGGGAACAACTTCCTGGTGCAAGTGCTGGCAGCAGTAACCATGAGATGATTGAGTTTAGGATCCTGAGGAAAGGAAGGATGGAAAGCAGGACAGTAAGGACCCTGGACTTCAGAAAAGGAGGCTTTGACTCACTTAGGGAGCACATGGGTAGGATCCCCTGGGAAGCCAGTCTAGAGAACCAGCTTTACTTTAAAGAAGCCTTACCGAGAGTGCAGGAACAAACCATCCTTATGTGCCAGAAGACTAGCAAGTATGGCAGAAGACCAGTTTGGCTTAGCAGGGAACTCTGCAGCAAAATAAAACACAAAAAGGAAGCTTATAAGAAGTGGAAACTTGGACAAACAGCTAGGGAGGAGTATAAGAATATTGCTCAGGCATGCAGGGATGAAGTCAGGAAAGCCAAATCACAATTGGAGTTGCAGCTAGCAAGGAATGTGAAGTGGAACAAGAAGGACTTCTATAAGTATGTCAGTAATAAGAGGAAGATCAGGGAAAGTGTGGGTCCCTTCCTGAATGGGGGAGGCAACCTAGTGACAGAGGATGCAGAAAAAAAATGCCTTTTTCACTTCAGCTTTCACAGGCAAGGTCAGCTCCCAGACTACTGCACCTGGCAGCACAGTCTGAGGAGGAGGTTAGCAGCCAACAGTGGCAAAAGAACAGGTTAGGGACTACTTAGAAAAGCTAGACATGTACAAGTTCATGGGGCCACATGGGAAGCACACAAGAGTGGTGAGGGAGTTCGCTGCTGTTATTAAAGAGTCTCTGGCCATCATCTTTGAAAACTCATGGCAATTGGGAAAGGTCCCAGATGACTGGAAAAGAGCATATATAGTGCCCATATTTAAGAAAAGGAAAAAGGATGATCCAGGAAATTACAGACCAATCAGCCTCACTTCAGTTCCTGGCAAAATCATGGTGAAGATCCTCAAGGAATCCATTACTAAGCACATGCCTAACCAATCTGATTGATGAGATGACTGGCTGTGTGGATGCAGGGAGACCAGTGGATGTGGTATACGTTGATTTTTAGCAAGCCTTTTGATATGGTCTCCCACAACTTTCTCTTAGAGAAGCCAAGGAAGTACAGGCTGGATGAATAGACTGTAAAATGGATGGATTACTGGCTGGAGCATCAGGCTCAGACTGTAGTAATCAAAGATTCAATGTCTAGTTGGCA